TTCACAGGAGTGCAAAGCTCCTCTCGTGGGGTGGGTCTGGGAGAAGCAGAACGAAACCTGTTTTCTGGGTGGTGTTTTCTGATCCTCTGTTCAAACCCTGCTTGGTCTGTTGCTAGTCTAAAGCACCCAGTGGGCTGTGAAAGCGTGTGGAGGTGGCTCACCCAGGAGCCTGCTGGGGAAGTGCTCCCAGAGAAAGCTCCTTACCTGGAGCTACAGGGTGGCTGAAAGGGTGGAAGGATTCCTAACGGAAGCTGGTTGTTCACCAGAGAGGAGAGAGCACGTCCTGGGGTGAGGGGAGCAGCACGGAGGTGAGCTGAGTGCCACGGGTTGTGTGGCAGGGATGGCAGAACCTGAGAGGAGTCGGTGCTGGAGATGTGGCAGTAGGGAGAGGAACAAGAAATGTCAGCCTCAGGGGCTTCCTGGGGCAGCTCTTGGCTGCTCTGTGAGGCAGGCTCAGAATTGCTGTGGCCTCTCACAGGGAAATGGGCCCAGAAAGGGGGAGAGGTGCCAGTGTTGGTGACAGGAGTGACAGCAGAGGGGTCCCAATTCTGCTCCAGCAGCCAGGCTAAACCCAACTGCCTCCTCAGGCAGACAGGATTGGATCCAGAGCTTCAGATGGCAATTCCCATCTGAGAACTGGGGAAACTAATGAAGGTTATGAAAAAGAAGCCAATTTTGGCTAAAGATGGAAACCCCCAAAGTTTTAATGAAGTGGTTCTGTTGGAGCTGTTCATGCACTTGGCTCTTTGGTGGCAGAGTGGCTGCAGGACTTGGGCAGGCAGCCCAGAAAATGGGCACCCGAGGGGGAGTTCAGTGAGCCTGAGAAACCAGGACTAGAGTGGAGAAGCAAGGAGGCAGGTGATGGGGAGAGGGTCTTGGAAGATTCCTGTGCAAAAATTCAAATTGCAGGCAGCAGAAAGTGCCTCTGCAGGGTTCCTCTCTCCAGGCAGCGAAGGTGATGCAAGGAGAAAGGAAATGAGGATTTTTCAGAGAACTGCAGGAAATCTTCCAAGCAGCTGCACTTCACCTGTCAGCAAGGAAGGAATTAAAGAACAAAGAGCTGAGCTGCAGCCAAAGTCCTGAAATCCTCAACCTGCTGGAGGGGAGAGAGGGGTTCCTGCTGCTCAGCAGCGAGGCTGAGTGGCACAGGCCTGTGAAACGCTGCATGGGGAGGTGCTGCCGGGTGAGATGCAGTGGAAGGGAAGATGAGTGAGCTGGAATGAGCTGGAATGCCCTGGGGAGGAAGATCCTGGGGAGCCTGGGAGGCCTGGCCGGGTGGGTTAACCCTTTGCTGCCAGGGAGGTGGCTCCTGCCGTTTGGAGAGAGCTGGAATCAGTCTTGGTTCCAGTGGGACGTTATGTCCTTGCCCCCCTCAGAAGCTGGGGCTGGGTTTGTGGCAGCTGCCTGCTCAGGTCCTGTCCTTCCAGAGTCATGCTCAATGGTTTTGTGTCTTGGCTGTCTGTGCTGGGTCTGTTGAACACCCCACGGAGCCAGCCACGCTTTTAAACCTTTCTTTCCTTGACTAAAACCTCCTGACCAATTCTTTGCTGTGGTTGCTGCACTTGGGCTCAGTCTGATGCCACCTTTCTGACAGAGCCGTGCCTGGAATGAGGACACTGTCACAGGGAGGCTCACGGGGCTCTGCCACTGGAGAAGTCCTTCAGGTAACACCCCTCCCAGTGCTCAGCACCTTCCGTGGCTGCTTTGGCAGTTCATGGTTCGTGGAAGAAGAGTGTGAGACTTCTGCTGGTGTAATTATTGCATCTCTCTTACCCTCCCACACCTCAACCCTTGGCAGCCCTCTGCTGCCCTGGCTCAGGGTGAAGCCCACCCTCACTTGCTGGAAACAGGAATTCCACTCTTTGGAGATAACACTTTCCAAACACCTTTCATCAAATGCATTTTGTGCCTCCCCAGATGGTTTAATTGGTGTGTGTGTCCTGGCTGACGTGCTGTGGTCTCCCATAGCTGGAGCCCTTAACTCGTGGCCTGTTGACTTAAAACATCCCTAAACCTTGATTTAAAACAAAGAAAACCCTTCTGGGCTGAACCCTTTTTTTCCTGTCACCTCTCCAGGTAGTGGTTGCTGTGTGGGGTTGGCACAGCCGGGTTGGGCTGCGTGGCAGTGCCCAGCTGTTAGGAAAACACCACGTTGTACCAATGGGCACATCAGCAGGGGCTTGGCCAAGCTGAGTTCTACCCCTTTTCCTACCAGCTTGGCCTCTTCTTCCTCAAGAGCAGAGATTCCCAAGTGGTGTAGCTTAGATCCTCAAAGGATTTTTTTTGTTAGGAAAGGTAAAACTCGTTTGCTAATTAGTGTGGGGAGTTATTTTGTGATTTGTTTAGTGGATTGTGCACTTGAGTGTTTCAGATGGAAGCAGCCTCGTTTGGACTGGCTCACAGAATACTCACAGACTGCAAACTCTGTTGTGGAAGGGGAGCTGACTCTGTTTTCAGGTAAGTGCCTGGTACTGGCTCCAGCGTGCTCCCTGGGCTGCTTCCCCTGGCAAACGCTACTGCGGCTCTGCTGGGGAGAAGGGCTGTGGAAAGCAAATCACACGTGCAAATAATAGCAAAATGAATTTCATTTATTTGTTGACAGACTACTGGTAGGAAAAAGATGCCTGGCTCTAAGTTTAGCTACGGCTGCTCGAGGAATTCCAGTGATGCCATCTGTTCAGAGTACGACGCAGGCAAGAAGCGAGAGCTGGCGGAAGGAGGCGAGCGATGGCATTGCATAAATCTGACAGCCCTCGCGTGCAGCAAGCGGCCACTTCTGACCATTTATTTCTTTAAAAAAAAAAACAAAAGGAGGGGAAAAAAAAACCCAAACCCCAAACCCAAGCCAAGGCCTGAGGGCAGTGGCAGGGCTGGGGCAGGGGGGCCCGTCGCCGTGCGCTGTGCTCCAGAACAAGGCACGCGTGGGACGTCGCAAGGCCACGGTTTGCAGTGGAGGGGAGGAAGGGAGGAAGGAAGGAAAGGAAGGGAAGGAAGGGAGGAAGGAAAGAAGGAAGGAAGGAAGGAAAGAAGGAAGGAAGGGAGGAAGGAAGGGAGGAAGGAAGGGCTGTGATCCCCCGGGGAGAGCACGGCCGCAGGAGAGCGCTGAGGTAAATCAATCTTATATTACTTTTTGATACAAAAGTATTCTTTGCAGCATTGCTGGCTAACCTAAAACGACCGACCTACGGTTTGGAGAATCGATGGGTCACTAAACAGTCATTCTGGGAGGAAGCACTACGCTAAATTAAAAACAAGACTCTGGAGTAGAAGGGAAGGGGACGAGCCCGTGAGCAGACGGGGCTCGTGTCACGCTGCGGGGCGGGCGGCTCGGCAGAACAGGACGCCCCCCTGTGTCTGTGGGGGGCTGCAGCAGCAGAGCAGAGGTAGATTGGCGTTTGCGAGGTCTGTGGGGAAGGGCAGCGACAGATCTCCTGGTTCCTCTGGGCCTGCAGCAGCTCCTGTGCTGAGGTACGGGGAGCTGTGAGCTCCCAGGACAGCCAGAGCAGGGCCAGCCGGGTGCCAAGCGCCCCTGGCAGCAGGCTGCCACCACCAGCAGAGAAAACAGCAGAGTGCTGCCACCACCAGCAGAGTGCTGCCACCTCCCAGGGCGACCCTCCTGCCCTCGGCAGGCAGGCGGCCCGTGGAGGAGCTGAAGAGTGGGGCAGGGCGCAGGGGAAGCAGGACTTTGGGAGATCTTCAGGAGAAGGCCAGTGGAACCCAAGCCCAAGTGAAAGGGTGACCCCAGGCTCGACCCCTCCGTGCCTGGCAGGACTGTTAGTGTTGGGGAAAACGCTCCAGATGCACTGATGGAGGGCATGAAGCGGGGACCAATTTTTAACTCCTGATTCCTGGATGTTATCACTCTAGGACTGAGGTAAAAATCTACCTCCTGAGACCACTTCATGGACAAGCCAAAAGGGTACTGGCCTCACCAAGCTGTTGTGGTAAAAAACTCCCTAGAGACTCGTATCCTGGTCCTGCTCTGGAGGCACCCTGTGGAGCGGGGCCTGCAGCTCCCAGCCTGGCTCCTCCTCCTGCCCTGGGCTCCAGCACAGACCTGCAGGAGGTGGTTCAGGGGCTCTGTCTGCACGCCAGAGAAGCCAGCGAAGCTGTGGGTGCTGCTCCATCCCCTGGACACCTGGCAGGCCACAGGGAAGCACGCGGGAAGCTGCTGCCTACAGAGGCTGACGTGGTCCCAGAAGCTGAGTGTTTCCCCATGGGGGAAGAACGTGGTAGGTGAAGAGAAATCAGTGTGACCTGACTTCGCTGTGTAAACAGTGTGCTAGCTACACCAGCTACCAAACTGGTGTATCCTGGTGCCTCCTACTGTTGTAATGGCAGAAACAGGTTCTGTGTTGTGTAAACAAGGTTGGCTGTAACGAGTCGGACCTAACGGCTCCGTGGAGAAGGATGAGGTGATGTCTCTGAATTCCAAGTGTAAACGGCCTCGGTGCCTAACACTGATGTGGAGTAAGTGGGATTTGGTGATGAGAGGTAGAGGGGAAGGACAGCCCCCTCCCCGTGGGCTCTGCACGCAGCAGGGTATCCAGACTCCTCCTCCTCCTCCGTGTGGAGGCGTTGGCTGTTGGGCCAGAATTGCAGTTTGAGAACGTGAAATGGAAGCTGGACTCTTCAAAAGTTTAGCCCAAGATGAAAGAGTCTCAACTCCTTCTCAGGGACAGTCCCTTCCCAAAGAGGAACATCACAGCTCCAGGATCTCGGGGAAGGTCAGTGCTAAGCGCGGCTCCTGATTCACAGATTAAAAATTAGATAAAATATATCCAGTCTGTCGGCTGAAAACCTCTCTGCTGTACAGGGCTGGGACTCGCGCGGGGGCTTCTGCCGCTCCAGTCTCCAAGTGCTCCCCCCAGAGATCAGAGCCCTCCTGTCTGAGGCAGCCCGGTGAAGCTTTCACACCCCCAGGGCAGTAAGAGTTGTGCGTTTTTAGGGCTCCCCTCGGAAGGGCACCCGAAGGCTCCGTCCTCCAGCGCCCTCCCAGCCTACTGGAACGCCTGGTGGAAACGCGGCAGCGTGGTCGTGCTCAAGCTGGAGGTGAAGACGGGGGGCAACGAATGGAGGGGCCCAAAGTTCAGCGAGGCCCCGGCTCCGGGGGATTCTTGAGGTTGGTGTTGCAAAGTGGTGAGCAGTGGCTGCGTCTCCCCTTGAGAGTAGCCCATGACCAACCCCCCCGACGACGCGGGCGGGTTGCAAGGAGGAAGGTTTAGGGGGAGGAAGCCGAGGAGATGAGAGAAGTCCATGTTAGCAGCACAGAGAGCCTCTGAAAGGTTAGCAGGGCTCTTGGAAAGCAAAGCCTCGTCCAGGGGGGGTGGCTGAGGCGAAGAGGACTGAGGCTCACCAGACGAGAGAGACAGGCTGCCAGGGAAGTCTGACAAAAAGCTGTCCACCTCTACTTTGGGTAGTTTCTCAGGCAAATATGAGGTAGATCCAAGCTGATACTTTGGGGGAGGTTGCGGTGGGGAGGAGATGGGAGAAGACTCCAGAGAATAGCTCCTTCCCATCGGGAGAGAATTAGGAACCAAAGAATGGGGCATCCCTGAGCTTGGCACGGTTTGGAGGTGCGTGCTGTACATGCCCACGGGCAACACGCCAGGGAAGCTCTTACCCCCTATCATGTCTCTGGATGCCATGCACAGGACGGGACTCAGCTCTTCCTTCACCGCGACAGAGGAGCCGCAGCTGAGGAGACCCAGCATGTCCACGGGCTCGGTCTTAATCTTCAGCAGCTCCTGGGAGTGGCTCTTCTTCATGTGCCTGGTGAGGTGATCCTTGCGGCCGAACCTCTGGGCGCAGTACTGGCACAGGAAGTCCTTCCTCCCCGTGTGCACCACCAGGTGCCTCCGCACGTCCTTGCGGGTGTAGAAGCGCCTGTCGCAGTGGTCGCACGGGTGCTTCTTCTCCTTGGCGCCGCCCGACGCCCGCCTGGAGTGGGCTTTGAGGTGCTCCAGCAGGAGCTGGGTGCTCTCGAAGGTCTGCAGGCACACCTTGCAGCTGAGGTCGCCGCTGGCCGCCGCGTGCATGGCCAGGTGCCGGCGGAAGCCCAGCTTGGTGTTGTAGTTCTTGCCGCACTCGGGGCAGTGCAGGGCCTCCTTGTGGGGGTCGTGGGTCTGCAGGTGGTTCCGGAGGTGGTCCTTCCGGTGGAACATCTTCTCGCAGTACATGCACTGGTGAGGCTTCTGAGCAGAGTGCGTGGCCATGTGCCTTGGGGAGGAAAGCAGCAAGGGGTCAGATGGGCGCCCGGCCCCTAAGGGAGCAGGGGCTGCTGTTCGAGGCTCCTGCTCCACACTGCACGACACCAACCCCCAGGGGACACTGCCCAACGGGCACAGAGGGGCACATCTCACAGCTGGGGTCTGTCCCAGCACTGCCTGCCCGCCCTGGAGGCATCACCTCGCACAGGTAGGCTCATCTACTCAGCTCCTGGCCTCTGCTGGGGATGACAAAGGGGGGATGACAAAGGAAAGCTTGGCAGTTTAGGGCAAGAAATGCTCGTCTGCTGGTGGGACAGCTTCGTCTCATCAGGAGGTGTCAGAAGGTGGCAATGTCTGTGGACAGCCACCGTGAGCTGACCTCTCCTCCATGGTACCTCAGGCTCTCTGACACCATGGCTCATCCCATTTCCTACTGACCACAGTGCTTGACTGGTCTCTGCTCTGCTTCAGAACACACACAGCAGCTCTAACCCTTTGGGCTAGAACAAGAGCTGCCACAGAAATACTCCTGTGGCTAAAGTTAGAGGTAGTGAGCACTATTCCTGCTTCTCATTTTGTTTTCTAATCTCTGAACTTCACTTTCTGCTTCCATTTCCTTCTTAGTAAAACAGAGAACAGCTTGAGCTCAGGATGCCACACAGCAGAAGGCGCCCGAGGAGAGGCCGCGTACGGCAGCGTCTGGGGCTCGGCCGCTGCGCAAGGCGCCAGGGGCATTTCCCCTCCTCCACCTTCTCAGAAACCGAGGTAAAAACACCCCGAGGGGGGTTTCCCCTCTCCCTGGCAGTCACCCACCTGTACAGCTTGTACTTGGAGGCGAAGGCCTTGCCGCAGTGCAGCTGGGGGCAGTTGTAGGGCCTCTGCTCGGCGGGAGGGAGCGCGTGAGCCCGCAGCTTCTCCACGCCGCCGAAGGAGGGCTCCGAGAGTTCACATTGGCACTTTCCCTGGCTTTCCGTCTCTTCGCCTCGTGGTCTGGGGACTAATTTCCAGCCTGTCTCTTCCTCCTCCTGCTTTGCATCTTGAATCCAGTTGGGAACAGTGGGGAAAAATGCCGTCATGGCAGGGCTAGTAGAAGATGGCCATGTCGGGCAGAACTCGCGCCTGCGGGCGTCTCGCCGTGGCGTCGTCCCGGTGCCGGCTTCTGCTGGAATCCTCTGTGCCCAAACTGCTTCAGCAGCAAGACATCTTCACCTGCAGTCACACAAGGGTGGGTGTTAAGGCCCTGCACCTTCCCCCCGTGCTCACACGCACGTGGGCATTCCCCCTGTGTTACAAACGTGTGGGAGGTGTGTTCACACACACACGGGAAGCGCCCGGCTCCACAACGTTTCCTTGTTTTCTCCCTTATCCCCCTTTCCTGAACAAAACAATGCTGAACTCTTTCTGAATTCCAATGTCTCAACTATTAAAAGCCAACATTACCCATTATGTGAGTTTTCTCCCAAAATATTGTAGGCAGCTGTCTCTGGAGCTCCACATACCTCACCTCTCCCCCTGGGTTTTGTGGATTGCTTCTCGTCCCCTTTTTTCATCCTCTTCACGTTCTGTTCTCCCTCAATCTTTGCTCCCATGGAATTCCCTTCTAGAGCTTCTCAGAGAACTGAGGTTCTCTCGCCTTGTTTTTCATCCTCTCTGCTACCAGCCTGGAGCACTAGTAAGACCATTCCCAAGCAAACCAATCTGAATTACCACCCAGGGCTCAACAGGGCTGGGGGAGCAAACTTGCTGTGCTCAGCAACATCCACACCTTTTTCAGGAGCAGCAGCTGCTGCTTCTCTTCAGGGTGTGATTAGTCACTGGATTTTCACTTGTCTGCTGTGAGGCAGATTCAGCCTCTCTGGATTAGCAAATTTTCTACAGTAATGAGCAATTTTTAGGTGTGTTTTTTTTTAACTTTTACGCTCCCATCCATTGATAATGGAAGCTCAGTTTCCTGTTGAACAAAGCACACCCCCTGCACGCTCTGCTGGCTTGCAGGTTGGTGAAAATCTACATTAATCTCTTTTAGCAGGTTGTTCTTGAGTTGCATGTCTCTTGTTGGTAAAATAGCACATTTTTAGATGGCTCTACCACCTCCTGAACTGCTGAACGGTTAGCTGAAATACAAACCTCAGGAAGCAGCTCTTTCGCTGAATTTAGCTGCCTGAGAAACTCTGCTTAAAATAGCATCAAACCCTCAAGCTCTTTTGCGCTCCATGATTGCTTCAGAGGGAGGAACTTCCTGCTGCACATCAACAGAGTGCCCGTTGTGGGCAGGATGTGCAACTGCGAGGGAACTAACCGGCCCCCGTTCAGAGAGCCCCCCGCCCGCCACGGCCCTGGGGACAGGCAGCCCCAGGAAAAGGGGTGACTCTCAGAACCCACATCGCTGCGAGGTGGGGACCTGTCTGTCAGGGCCACAACTGGGTTTTGTGCAGGCAGAGTGGAGCAGTGCAGGACCAGGGCTGCCGAGGTGCC